TTTGAAAATCGTTAAGTCGAATGAGTCTCTCTCTCTAGGGGGTTCGACGACGACAAGCTGCTGAATCTATCGAGACGGGGGGCGTTCCGCGCGCGAGCAGGAGGAGCCCCCCGGCACCGGGGTCTTCCGTTAGTTCATCGTCTTCCGGTGACTTCCGGTGGCCTCTAACGAGGGACAATGCTCCTGGTGCACGCTGTGCACGCGGCGCACAACAATCGCGTCTCAAGTTCCGCCAGGCGGGAGGGCGGTGCTGCCAGTCTCGCTTTCCTCGTCTCCGCTTCCCATTCTTTCTTCTTCTCGACTACTTATGCCGCGTAGCGTGGCCCTCAATGACACATTAGAAGCCAGCACTCCGAAAGGCGAGGCGTCGTGTGCGTGCAGCAACACCGATGAGACGCGAGGAAGAAATAAAAGTGAGAGAAAGAGAGACCGATACGATATTCTCTCCGACTCGAACACAAATTATAGACTCCCCGATCGACCGTTGACTCGGCGACTCGTAGATTCGCTGCATTCGCTATTTCGGCCCACTCGGGATATACGGGCTCATGGCTATATGTACACGTACTCGTTGTTCGCGAGCACGGCAATGGCATTCACGGACACGCACGTCTCTCGAATCTCGATCCTTTTCAGCGGATCGCGCGGGCCCGGCCCGGCCTCGACTCTCATTCTGCTCGCTCTCGTGTGTCTTTGTGGGGAGACGCGCCACTCGCTTCGGGATATACCAAGGAGTCGACCATGCGAATTTACAGGAGGCCACTCGAGCGCGAGACAATTGTTTAGTCGCCTCGAGGATTGACTTCTTTCTCTCCTTCTGCTTCCTCAATGAGCTTGGTCGCTCACCTTCTTTTCTTCCTTTTTTTTGTCTCGATCAACCCAACTTCTTCCCCGCGCGACCGTTAACGGTCGACCCGGACGTCGCCGAGCAGTCTGCTCTCTATCTCGGCGCGTCGACAGATTCCCAATCGAGCTATACGGGGAATCGCATAATGAGATATTGTACACCTCGAGTGTCGTGCAAAAAATCAATCTGACGAATATTCGTGAGAATAAATTAAAATTTCTTCAATTTGATTCTCATTTCTGTGCAATTTGTTTTCAAATAAAAAATAATTATTTGTGAAAGTCTATGTTAAATAAAGATAACAATGTGATAGAATAGGAATAACAATTTTGAAGTCTTAATTAGATAAAATCAATGTCTAAAACAATATTATCTTGTGTGATGATTATAAACACTACTAATAATCGATAATGATAGTAATTATATAGCACAATATTATACTGTAGTGCAATACAGTAATTTAATTAAGAAGAAACAGAATAGTATATTTTGCAATGTTGTCTGTTCATTAAAATACACAATCCAAGCGTGTCGTGGACCGCGGGGGAAAAGCGTCTCTCTATCTGTCGCTCCATCCTTTGACAGTGGCAGTCGGCGACACGCCCGCAAAATTGCTTCTCCGGCGTGGAAGCTCGGCTGCCGCTACGAGAGAGAGACAATTTTTCGGGGGTTGCGAAAAATATTAATAACTCCGGTGTTACAGAAAGAGAGTAAAGGACGAAGGGCTTCCCGAGTAAGGGATGGCATGTTTGAGGGGGAGGAGGTCGTGAGCGGCGAATGAGGCGCGCGGGGGTGGCAGTAGACCGGAGGGGGCAGCGAGACGAGGGGGTGGCAAGTGTTTCTGTCAGTTTAATAGCTTCGCGCCTACCTACCTCCTCATCCCTCCCCTCTCCCCCGGCCATCCCTCTTTACTCGCACAAACTCACCCTGCACGCGTACACTTTGCCGCCGACATTACAGCATCGTCACTCCACGTGTCAGAAGTTGCGCCAGACGTAGGAGGTCTGCTTAGATCTGATAACCCTTTGATATTCCCGTTATTTATTGCCCCCTCGTAGTTAGCCACCGTCGGCGTCGTTGGCGTCGCGTCGTCGTCGTCACATGCGTGAGAATCGATCGAGCTCGATCCTCGGGCGAACTTCTCGTGTCGACTTGGATCGCGTCGTCGGTTTTATGGTATTCGATGATAATTGGAAATAAATGACACGTAAGGGATTTCACATCGGTCTGATCGACAATTTTAGACTTGACCTCAGTCAAAATGTGACTAATACCTATGTTTGTAGGTAGGTAATACTATGAAATAGGAATAAGAGATCAACATATTTCTTCCCTTACCTCAAACATCTAGAATTACAGGTTTTGTGATTTTACGAAATAGGACTCCCTGCAAGATTGTAAAACAAATAAATGATATATCGGCAGAACGCGTGAGGGAATACACGATTATAGTGGTCGATATTTTTGCAATAATCATGAAATTAAGCGGCATTACGCGTTTTGCGAGAGATATATGTTCTATGCAGGTAATAATAAATATCTAATTGTTACTAAAGCTAGAGTGTAATAACATTTAATTTTGTGTAATAATATATAAATATTTTAATTATAAATATATATTTGCAAAATTTCTAAATAGTATACATGGAAATAATGTATTGCAAACAAACGTTGTATAAACGTGCATAATTGTCGATTTTTAGTATTTAATTATATTTATTTTATTATTTAATTATAACGGCGTGTGTACAATTTAAATTGTTTAGCTGTACTTCTTATAAATTCGATTTTGTTAATCGCACAGATTTGATGATAACAATTTTTATATTTTTTATTATTTAAATTTTACATTTTATATATTTTGCTAATTTAATATTCAAAAATTTTGGCAACTGCATCTACCTTTTTTTCTCTGATTGTGTATGTGTATGTGAAGGATCTAAAAGATAATAGTTTCGGAAAATCGCGAAGAAATCAGCGTAGCTGGTATTATTAAAGGATATGGTTTCTTACGGCGTTGGAACGAAGGTGCGCGCAGTAGGTGATATCAACATCCGACATAGAGACATTTTTATGCCGGTGTAAATCAAGCCCCTCCAAATATTGCGCAAAGGACAAAGTCGACGTCGAATGAACGAAGGGTACCGGCGTAACCGGCCATAAAGAATGATATAACTGCACGCGACACATGTCTTCCCGGGTGCGAAACACAGTCATATCGTCGTTACTGCCTCCTTTTTCCACGCGCGCCGTCGCCGGCTACCCGAGAAATGAAGATTTGTTTCGGCGTCTTTCGGTCCCGTCGTATATTCCTGCGCGACTTTATCCGCGGTCGTCCCGATTTTATGGCGTTCGCGCGCACGCATTTAAATCATCGTGCCAGCTCGCCTCGAAAATAAACAGGCAGGAAAATGCGGGCTAATAACTCTCGATTATCTTCTTGTTTCTTAAAGTCAAGGATAACAAACTCAAAAAAAAAGAACAAAACGCAAATTAATTGTAAGATGGGCGTATTACAGAGACAAAAATGCTCGAACAAGATAAATTCATTGATAATTTTTTAATAAGATTATTTTAATATAATATTGTTTAAGTATAAGTTTAATTTTATGTCATATTTGGATTTCTTTATTTTTGATATTATATACATGTGTATATATTCTTCAAACTTTGAATTTTCTGAAATTCAAAATTTTCTGATGAAAGAAGAAACGACGTTTTGTTATATGTGAAATATATTCAAAAATGTAAGTACCTACTACACCTATGAATATATTTATGTAGGTCTCTTTCAACTAAAAAAAAAAAAACAAAAAATTGAATACATGAGAAAGTAACTGAAAGAGCTTTGACCGTTTTTCTAATCGTAACGATTTTCGAGAAAATCTCAAATCTCGTTTTCTTGACTAAGACGAACGTTACGTATAGTCATGGAAAGATATTTTTTCCATCAGAAAGTGAAGCGCAACAATACGCGAGATTGGCGTTTTCGATACTCTACTCCTTCGATTGACTTTGAAGTCGAGTCGATGGACAAATCGCGGCGAATTGTGGAGTGTGGTTGGAAAAAAATGGAGAATCGACTGGGAGGTTTGTGACAGCGACTTTTCGCAGTGAAAAAGTGGCCGCCCTTGTCCAATAAGAACTTCGATGGCTGTCCCGCTGACCTCGTCTCTGCGTGGGGTCTTTTCTTCCCTGCGTCCTCATCGAAGTGCTTTTCGATAGATATTTTTTGCGATAAAAAAAATTTCACAGTGCGTTGACATCTTATCCGCTGACTACTAATGAAGTCGTCGATCTTGCTATTCTACGTTCATTCGTATGTGAATTCGTCAGTAAGAAAAAATATTTATTTATGAAATATATTATAGTTATTCAGATTTAGGATGGCTGCATGCATAAGTATCTTTGAAACGTCTAAACTATTTTGATTTGAAAATATTTTGACGCGTCAATATATAAAAATAGTTAAAAAAAAAAAATGAAAGTATGTTTTTTTGTAAGTTTAAGCTAACAAATAATACATTTAATGAAGTAAAAAATATTTTAATATATTTATTACACGTTCAAAATTTTTGTTTATTAGTGCGGTATTTATAAATTTAAAAAATTAAACATTTACATTGTTAATTTTATGAAAAAAAAAAAAAAAAAAAACAAAGTAGCCATCCTTTAGAATGTCTATTAAAATTGATTCTTGCTCGGGGCTCTTGAACCTTCGGAAAAAGAATCCCATGTTCGACTTTGACATTCAGCTACCGCGAAATCTCCTTCGTTATCAGCGTCACGTTACGCTACCCCCTCCTCTGTTACCCCCTCCTCAGACGTCCTCTCAGACAGTCGCATTACGCTCCACCGCCAAAGCACCACGTCCCTCTCGCTCGCTCTCCCGAGGGATGCTGTAGTTGCCTTGGTGGGGATCTCGACGCGATAGGGGTGGCTCCGCCCGTGAACCAACCAGAGGTCCCGCTGGAAGCGACCCGCCACACCCCGTGAATCGTCCCTGGGATCCCAAGAGAACGTCGTGCCATCCTCTTCTCAACAGATTTTGGATCCTCTAGTCCGCCAAGGGCCAGCTGACACGGAGCAGCGCTCTTTACCGTTGTCCGTTTTCTTCCATCAGTCGCTCGTCCGGAAAGGCTCGCGTTACGCGGGCTACCCCCCGCGATCGCGATTGATCCACCGCTCCGGTGTGGCCTCGGGTTCTGATCGGAGTTATCGGTCGTGCACGTCCCGACCGATCGATCGCTCGATCATGAAGACAGTTGGCCCGCCGACGGATTTTCAACGACGTCACTCGTCATTCTCGTGATGTTAACGTGAATTCGTGAAGGACAAGTCTTGTGATACCGATGTGTCGGGAGTGATCCGAATCCTCGTCTCGTCCAGAATCGTTTGGAAGATCTAGGATTCCGGATTCGAGATCAATGAACGGCCTTGATCTGTCCCGGTCCATCGTGGATTGCAAGATGAATGGTAAGTCAACCAGATCGCCTTGATGATGGATCAACATCGAAGAATTCGCGTTGATGATAATTGAATTGTACGATTTATGTCGATATAACGAGAATTGATACGCGAGAATTGACGAGACAAAGTTTCTGATATTCGTCATCACTGTCAGGAAATAACAATGACAGTTGCAACAATAATTTCCAGTCAACAGTTATTAAAGACATTTCTTTATTAGCATGCACACTTGTGGAAGTAAATTTACGCAAACTCTCTAATTTTAGATCAGATCGCATGTGCCAGCCTATTTTCATGAAATTGACATAAATAAATTGACGTACATAAATAAAAAATACATAAATAAAATTGACGTAAATAAATTGATTTTGTAATTGTTTAATCACGTTCTTTAAAATTTATTCTACAAAATCAACCTTAAACAAGATTGATGCAACCAGCTGTTAAAGCGTCAGGTATCGTTACGATAAGTTGAATAATATTTCATTGTGAAAGTCCGATACTCTTGTGAAGTTTGACTTGTTGACGCAAAGTACCCTTCCGTTCGTTCCATTACGTGCGAATATATATCGGCAAGGAAGCTTGACCGCAGCCTGTCCGGAAGCCAGACTCCGGAGATTCGATCTTCTGTCCAATTTGGCCTGCCTCGGCCTGCTAATTCCGTGACACGCTGATAATCTTATCGACGTTTCACGATACTGCTCTTGGCCGCAGGATCCGACCGCCGTCGTTTTTTCTAATTAACCCCAATCGCCAGTCTGCGCCTCCGTAGCAGGGAGATCTGATACTGTCAGCGAGATTGGTCCATTAATCGCGCTGTCCGCAATGGAGTTATCGGAAACACCGGCGTCGCCTCTCGCCACCTTGTGTACCACGCAGCGTGGTACATTAGAAAATGTTGCGTTCTTTTAGAGGATCCCCGTATCGCCCCAGGATGTCCTGTGCGGTCAGGGCTAACGCGGTCTGCACGAGTGCGAATGTAACTCGCGTTGCAATCGACATCTCCCTGGTCGCCAATTTGTTTAATTATCTTTTCCGGAAGTTGTACTTGCGTTTCTTGAACCTCGCAGTAATCTCCGTGTCCTGCTTCTCTGCCGCTCGAAACGCATTCCTAGATTTCTTAGAATGCACTCCTAGATTTCGCTTCGTTTAACGACAATCACTTTTAAATATTCTTATGAGTGTATCGATCAACATTTCATAATGCTTATATATTATGTTTAATTTATATGAAGAGTGTTACATATACCATTAAACAAGGAATTATTTGTAAGTGAAATTACAAAATAAAATTAATTTTGGTTGTTACGTGTAATAATAACTACTGAATTCGATAACTATATTTTAGCAAAGAAAACTATATGAGGGTATATAATTTGAGATTTATAAACTTTATTTTGTTTTTTCTCTTTAGTTCTCTATATGAAATATTTACTTGACAATATTTGGACGCGTGCATTTGGCCTCGCGTATCTACTTAATGGTAGATTAATCGATCATTGGTTGATCGTTTGTTAAACCCTTCGATCGTGAAACGTCAACCGCCTATATATTCGGCGCATGCAACTACATAGCAATCAATAGACGAATTCACAAAGTATCGCACACGCGCATCAATCATCGATCACAATAGACCCGTGCGATGCAAAAGAGTCATTTGCTTTATAACTCGCTAACTACTTCACCGCCATGGATAAACATGCATTATTATTTTCACAGTAAATATCATGTGACACACATGGCCACTGATAGAATAATTTTCATTAGCCGCCTATCCGTCATCGCGAATAATATTCGAATTATTGTTTATTAGGTTATAAAATGTATATATAAAATTCGTAGTGTCCGTAGATCCTATACATACAGGCTAATAAAATCAAACGTGACTCTCTCATTTGAGAAATATAAAAAGTAAATTATTTTTTGACGTAAAAAAAGGAAATCTTTTTAAATAAAAATGACACATTTTTCTTACAGATACTGGTTTATATTCTTCAGAATTAAAATCTGCAGATAATCGAAAGGTACACGTCTCTCTCTCTCTCTCTCTCTCTCTCTCTCTCTCTCTCTCTCTCTCTCTCTCTCTTACTTTCGGAGAGACTCCACGTCTCTTTCTCTCTCTCTTTCTCAATTAATATAAAAAGAGAGATTCTTCCCACGATTAATTCGTCTAGGGGCGTAAGCCTCCCGCGCTAGAGCGGCACTTCGCTCTAATCATCTTTAGAGTCTCTCGAGCCGCTATCATCAGGGATAATGTCACGCATGGTTCAACAAGTACACTCGTATACCTCTCTGTCAAGGGAGAAAGTATTCCACTTGTATCCCACAGAAGTCAAAGACCCCTGGCTTTTTCGAGGGTTTCCCAAATATTGTTGTTGTATCATATCGGCTACTCGCCGCGATCTGGAGAGTATATCTCGGGTACCCTTGCGTGATCAGGTCTCTTCTTTACGATCATCTCCAACCATGAACGCGAAGATCCGCTAAATCGTGTTTATTCGGCCGATTAGGACCAAATTTTGGTAATGTTACCGCACAGTAGATTACAGTGATGCTTCTGCATTGTGTTTATGTTGTGATCACCTCTCAATTAAAATAAAAATTTTAATTTTTGCTAAACGAATAAATATTGTACACAAATTCAGAAATGTTGTAAAAAATCGTTAATTTAAAAATATTTCTAGAGAAGCCTTTCTTTAAGTTAGCTGCGATAAATGTTTTATTTAACGTTATATTTAAACTTAAATTTTTATTAAGCTTATACTATTTTTTATTTTTTTTTTATCAAACAACTTAACTGATTTTATCTTTTACAGTTGCGAGCTTAATTATAATTATTTACAGTTTTGAGTGAATTGAAACGATTTAAAAATAGAAGTCTATGGATTATTATGTGAGCGATTTATTTTTTTCCATTAACTGTGACGCATTGATATCGACACTCGTAGACGTCCTGTCTCTTTGAGCTTCGTGTCGACCAGCGTGCCTTGCAGGATCACCGTTTTCTTTTACGACTCGCCCGCGCCGACATAAGTCTACGGATCCTTAAGTCTTTGTTTACTCTCTCGATTAGAATGGAATTGAAGCCGGCGTCGTAAAATTGATATTTTTAACGTTTTATTGCGGTACGCGTATGGATCGTCTTTCATACACGCGGCCGAATCATAGAAATATCTATATAATGTCATAGAGATATTATCTGTTCCCTAGCGAGAAATGATTCATCGATATCGATACGAGGATTTCGATGTCAATTCAACAGCGATTCGACGTCTAATTGATTTCTCTCTATAGGCCCTTCTTTATGTTATATTTAAACTTTTAAAAGAGAGAGAGAGATGGACAAAACCAGTAATTTAATTATATATATCATAACACCGGCGCAATATCGAAATTAATCGTGAGAAAACTTTGATCGTAAAATTATAGTGCTTCCTTTCCCCTTCTTCTCCGTCTCTCCACAATTTGTCTTCCTCTTTGATGCACCTGCCAGCTCGTCGCTAAAACGATCATTTGCTTAGTCGCCGATTCACATGGAACTCCCGCTGTTTGCAGAGGACTCTCGATCTTCGCAGGCAGGTTTCTCGGCCGGCTCGAGGACGCGCGCATAAAGTTCATAGTTTGTTTTTAGATAGCCGATACGCGTGGATATCTTTCGATTCGGAGATAAGGCCGCCCGTTAAAAAGGGCCCGTCGTATCCGGCTAAGGCGAGTTTGTACAAACAAAACCAGATTCGTGCAGTGCTTCTTTGTCACTTCGAGCGTGATATAATTGTCACGAGTAGATAACAAATTTCAATGCTTTCATCGGGAATGCGTGCTTGTATGCAATTAAATGCGTATATGTTTCTTATATAATATTTCTATTCCAGCCTCAGCTAATAATTGCGTTTCAAGTCCGAACATTTATTCGGCGCGCAGTTTAACGGCTGTACATGGATTTCAGAAAAATTCATATAGAATTTATTGGGCATCTAAGATCCAGCCGTGACCGTAAAGGCGCTCTCGAAGTTAGTTGATGTTATTTACTTAGGCGGTCTTATTCAAAAAATTATTATTTCTTATATAACTTATGCTTTCTTTAATACTATTATCACACGTCGTACATCTTGTATCAGATTGATTTTTTTCATTATAAATTTTTGTTTAGGAGCAACGAGTTGCGTTTGTGACAAAAAATGTATTGTAATTTATTTAATAATATACGTAGGATAGATCCCCTTTATCCTGTTATATCTTGCATCGCATGACATCACGACGCATCAAAAAATAAGCCGACAAGAGGACAATAAAATTCCTTATCACGGCAAACATCCTCGGCTTGGGTGTCATTGCGTGCACGCGGCAGCTGCGTACGTATACGAAGAAACGTGCCGTAGATAGCGCATACTCCAATTGACACTTGTCCTTGTGTGCCTAGGATTCCGTCAAGTCGTAAAGCGAGAGAAGGGAAGTGAGAGCGCGCACACACAGAAATTTATTTTACCTCTCTCGTGCAAAACCATTCATGATTTTCCGACACCTTCATCGAAACGCAAAGTTTACACGAAGCCGCGACCTTTCCCGCAACAAAACGCTCGTACTTGCATTTAATATCACGAACTGCGACTTTATCGCGGGAACAACGAGCTACCGCTTTCTCAGAAATGACCAATCAATACGTCACGTTCCGGAAAGTCGTCTCTCATCATTGTTCTGCGCGCGAAACCTTTCTTAGTAAACATAATTTTCGCAAATGGCGAATAATATGTTACCGAAAATATGACAAATGTTTAATATAATTTTTAGAATAACTGACACGTACCAAATAAAGTTTTCCATGAAAGAGAAAAATCAACGGTTATAATTCAAATGCTGTTAATTAAAAAAAATAACATGGATTTTATCGAATTGAGAAGACATTATTATTTAGTCAAAGTTATTTCTTTTTACTTTTAGACAACATGAGCATAAACTATTGTTGTAGAAATTATAACAGGAAAAATACTCTAAATCATAATTAAAAATTAAATTAAAAATAATATAATCTTTTTTATAAATGCCGCTATGATATTTACGAGTAAAAAATGTTAATTACATTATTTATTTACATTTCGATTTATTTGTTCTTCCCAGGAAGCAGCGACGAAGGCGAGTCAACGTCGGGCGCGACTGGCGGGGGTGGCGGCAGCGAGAACGCAGAAATGGAGGAGAACGGATCGACTCGCACGAGCAGCAACAGCAGCAGCAACAATCCCAATTACAGAGATCTAAAGCTTCAGGGCGGTGGCGAAGGAGTTCCGCAGGAGTATAATCCGCAGTCGCGGACCGCCTATCAGCAGCGTGGGTACTCGCCGGGGATGGACCGACAACGGAATTACGAGAAGGAGCAGCTTCAACCGTCGCCGTCTTCTAGGGAGGAAGAGAGAAAATCGTCCTGGGACTACGAGAAGAGCACGCGGAAGGAATACTCAAGGTCGCGGGATTACGGCAATGAATACCGTGAGTTTCACAGTCCTTGCTGAAAAGAGAGTCTACACACGCACAACAAGACGATTTACATGCAACACTGGCTTGTTTTAGCATTACGATTAAAAAATGAAAAAAATATTAAAAATTCTTTAGATTTATATTCGAATCATATCATATATATCATAGAAATTGAATTTTTCTAATATATAGAGATTTATTGGATTATCTTACACATTTTTTTGTGATCATTCACGAGCCAACGTTTTCTTGATATTCGATAAATATATTCCAATGTTTATCTGCGTAGAGGATGCGATAAAACAGGAGCCCAAGGATCACTCGAGTCGCGAGTGGGTGTCGCCCGTCCCGGAGGTCGAGGTCGGCGGCTCGGCACCCGGGGGCTCGTACGTTCGTGCACGCAAAGACATCCCTCGTGGCGCGAGATTCGGCCCGTTCCTTGGCAAATGGGCGAGCGAGCCTTTCAACCCCCGTTACGCGTGGGAGGTGAGTCGTATATTTCTTCTCGCGGTGTATATAGATGTGTGTACGTGTTTATCGTTTCCGCCCGCTTTCGAATTCTCGAGTGGTGGAGGTAGTCGAGGCGCGATCGTAAAGCGAATAGGTCGGTGCTCGATCAGTTCAAACTGACCTTTTGAAGCGAAAGATGTTTGCTGCACTCTCAATGTTGCGAAATAGTCTCCCAACGCCGTGAAACTTTTTATCGGGGCCAGTCAACACCGTGGTTATTTTTTTCCCAATTTTTGTTGACTAACGAAAAGAGCATTTGCTTACTAGTCTAATGTGAAGGATCAATATGGAAAAAATAAAAAAAAGCATTTTCATTCACATACTGATTGTGAGTGTAAAATATTTTCTATAATATATAAAATATTATTATTTATTTAAGTCTTTTAGATAATAAAAAATGTATTAATAATATATATATATATATATACATATATATTTATACAAAAAAATTTAGAATTTGATTTCTTTTTTCAATGCTATAATTAGTATAAAATCATTAAATCTATTTCTTTTACGTTCAAATACTATCTTTTTTTTTTTAATAGCATACGTTTACACATTTGTTCGAGATTCACGAGGATTCACACGCGAATCTTATTCGATATCATTTCGATTTTAGGTTGTCGTCAAACCGTTTGAAAGATGATCGATCTGTTTATGGTTTGAGTTCGGCGCAGGAATGTTTCATTCCGCGTCCAAGCCGATGGGTTTTCTCTATCCTACTGCTATAATCCCGGGTATTATCCGGCAGATGCCGGTAACAGTGGAGGAGAAAGAGGGAAGAGCAAAACCAGACAGAGCCGTCTCCTCGCTTCGACAGCAGACACCTGGTCGACTCGTTCACCGAAGGTGTCATCCACGTTGACAGATCTGTCAATTGGATCGTCTCGGACGGCTTTCTCTTTCAGTTTCTTCTGAAATTTTCGGATTCCTATGGAATCTGTTGGAAGTGCATACGGTGGACCGCACATTCCTAAGTCAACTGTAAAATCGATATTCGAAGTCAGGATAGGGAAGTCGGTCCATGAAATCGTCAATAACGGATAATTTCTGCTCTTCCCTGGATAAATAAGTGTATTTGCAATTTACTTGCCTCACATCGTTAGAATGCTATTAATTTGTAATGAATTTTTTAGATTGCAATATAATAATATTTCGGAAAGCTAAACGCGGCGACTAATCGATTGTGATTTTCACGATCGGTTCCGTTTTCAGAAATTCACTGACATTCGCATTGAATTTGAGCGGTAGAAAAGATTTCCAAATTCGGACGGTAGGAAACTGATCGCGTTTTGGTCCAAAGGGTGTGATAGATATGATAGCGGCGGCGTTAGCGCATGTCGCACTGACAAAATGTAAATGGCACCATCCATCTAACTGCCGACAAAAAGGCAGCCGGGGCCAACTGTCGGACCGGCGATTACAGGATCGATTAAAGCCAAACTACCCCTTCGTTTCGTCAGGCCGATCTATCAACCCCACGCGCGTAAATGTGCGAGCGCGCGAGAGAGAAAACATCGCGCGAGCGAGCGAGCGAGCGAGAGAGAGAGAGAGAGAGAGAGAGAGAGAGAGAGAGAGAGAGAGAGAGAGAGAGAGAGAATCGGCCGCGATTTCTCATGTCGATCTATGTTTATTCTAAATCCCGTACAAACTGAAATGGGAACTGAAAGAAAATTTTCAAAATTATTCACTTTTGATCGAATTTTTTAGGAAAGACACTAAAATTTAACATAGAGATTAATACAATATTTTATTTTTAAAAATGTTATAATTTTATTGCATAAATTATAAAAATACTGCCTCACACAAAAGATTTTGGTTAAATGCAAAAGTATGAAAATCGCAATAAGAATAGCAATAGGATACACCTTATGATCGAATTTCTATGACAATATTGGTAACGAATCTTTCAGGATCTCACGAACCTTTTTCACAATCCGATGAAGCAAAAAAAGCTCCCTTTCGATCGTTTCGCACGTTATTCCCCGGATCCTAATCCTTTTCTCACATCCTACAGGAAACGGACTGAAGTTCTCGAGACGCGAAATCAACGAAGGGAGAACAAGAACCACGAAACCGAAATTTACCCCAAATTTCCTCGGTGTTTATCCACCCCGAAATATCCCGCGAAAGATCGGAAAGTTTTTATGGGATTATCGGATTTAGGATGATCGCTCTGAATCAATTTTCCGGTCAGTCTGAAAACATTAATTCCCTGAGGAACATACATATTAATCTGATCTCAATTAATGGTCGAAATAATAATTCCTTGCAATTAAGATATAATTTTCTAATTTATTTTTTTATCCCGAACTTTCTCAAGTATCGTCATTTCATTAGTTTCATAAAGATAGGCAACAAAATTTTATTTTTAGAATAGTAATATATATTTTTGTGCTACTTTATTGCATGCGTAACTTCAGAATTTACAAAAGGAAACATTATATATTAACAATCGCCTTTCAATCAGGGGTCTCGAATCATCGAAATCCGAATTTGGGAGTTGGTTGTCGGTAGTTTAGGTATCACCATTACATCACCTGCCGCGAGATTTCTCGTTTTCCCAATATTCCAAAAAGGGTGAGATAAAGTATAGAAAAGAGGAAAAAAACATGAAAAAGACGGGAGAAGCGAGGGGAGGCGATCGGGATTCACTTCTCTCCCAGTGTATCCTGTTCGTTGACGCGTGATCCGCAGGACGACCGACCTGCGGCGTGCCTGCGTGGCGACTAAACCAATCTAAGGCTTAAGTTCACTCGGCTGAGAGACCCCTCGCGTGAGGGCCGAGCTCCAATTTGTCGAATGATTTCGAGAACCCAAGTTAAATGATCAACGCGAAATATCGGTGAAGGAGAGCTGATGCGAACGAAAGGCACGAAAGGAGAATGGCAATATAGGTGTTTTTTTTCCTAATAACTTTAATAAGAAGTCTAAACTAATAATATCTGGGAGGGATGAAAGTGATATTTACAATTCGGTCCTCGTTACCGTCCTCGTTATCATCGTCGTGGTCTACAACAACGATGACATATCAACCCCTTTAATCTTGTGAAAGATAAAGAAAGAGAAAATTGTTTTATTTTTCTAAGCTATGTCTATTGCATGGTGATAAAGAAATATTTTAGCAGACATGCTTGAAAAATAAATTTTCCCGAATACGTAAAAATTTATTTTTGCAATAATTTTGTATGATATATAAAGTGCACATAAATTCTGACAGGAGTCAATGCACTAGAATAATAAACGAATTTTAGATGAATGTTTACATTTTATTTAAATACATACATATATGTAATATATGTATATATTTAAATAAAATCTAAAAGTAGAAATCTAAATATAGTAGAGCTTATATGTACATAAGATTTTATTTAGACTTTATTTATTATAAATGCTAAATTGAGAGTGAGTAAGGGAGAGCATATTTTAATGTGTATATTGCACTGTATATTATACTTACAATGTGAATTATTATTACTATGTGTGATTTTAAAACGTAATTAATTAAATTAATAATGAAATAGTCTTGATAATTGTTAATCGTATTCGGGATAAATGGATTACATATTAAATTCGTATTATATATTAAAACATTAAAAAACAAGTTTTTCTCTTACATGTTAGATTGGGAATCATTCATGCGAGATGTCGAATTTACACGTGATTCTTTTGCTCGACTCCTTCGGCTACTTGCGCATATTTTCTCTTTTCAGTATTTTCCTTCTCACTTTTTTTCGTCTACATATTGAAACCGACGGCGTTTTTTTTTCCACGCGGTTGCCGGCAACCCCTCTCGAGGTCTCTTGACTCGGATTGGAGACCGTTCGCCTTTCGACCACGTGGGAGAAAAGGAGGATCGGAGTACCGCTTGTTTTTCACGTTGAAGCAGCCGCACGCGCCTCGTCGCCCATACGGGGCACTTTTTCGGCAAATCGGTCGGAAAATTTCGCTGTTAGCGACGTATGCAACTGACAAATTATATTAATGGTAATCCTCGAATGAAACGTGCCATCGTCAACCGCATGGCTTCCATTCCGTGGTTGATGCGCGATATATGATGTTGTCATATTGATACAAACCGAACACATTGAGATTAATACATGCTACGCTGTGACTTCTAATTACTCAATTCAATATGGATTTTATAAAAAGATTATACACGCTAAGAATTTATGCAGTTGATAATTTTTGTGAAATCCACAGAAACAAAATTTATTTATACTGTTATAGAGTCTGTCACGTTTATTACATGTAGTTATCACACTGATTGTGAGATATTCGTTTTCATTTCCTATCGGAATCCGTGAAATCGCAGCATCAAATATTTCTTTCATAAGATTTCTCGAGAGCGTAAATGTAGGCCATCATGATGTATGGATCATATTGTCGATATTATTAAATTGTTGGTCCATCCTGACGTAGGATATTTTAGACAATCCGCGCGTCCGCCGTTTCAGACATACAATAGAGCACATCGGTGCCTATTATCCGCAGACATTGTCCATGCGAACTAGTCTTTAGGGCGTTACCGGAGGTCAAGCCCCGGAAGTGATTCGACAATGAGGTACATTATGCTCCTTCCCCTACCCTCCCCCTATCCTCCTCGAAGGCCCGATCCTCGTCCTTATTAACTCCCTTAGCGCGCGTAAGTGCAACGTGATCACTTTTCGCCTGCATCCTCGCAGGGTTTCGCATTAGGTATTTCAAATCGATACTTCGAATGGTCGAAGCAGGATTTCGCCAGTTCTCAAGGCGTAGGGTTACGGTCCGCCTTGCGATTTCCCGTATTTGAATTTGAAATAGGAGAAAGAAGGCGTCTCGAACGGCGAACTGTGGAGAGAACCTGCGCGCGGGATCGTGCAGTGGCCGAAAATCGAAGAGAGAAAGAGAAATGGCAAGAAACAAGTGACAATCAGTGACGCGGGGATCTCCGGTATTGTCCGAGCTGTCATACGTCTGACACGCCAGGATATCAA